GCACGGCGTTCAACGGCCCGTCGATTTCTTGTCCCGTCGCCGCCTAGTCGCTCGCTCGCGCGTTCCGAAAATCGAGACGGTTCCTGGAGACATTCCAGGACTCTCGTCCCGGTGCACATTCGAGATTTAATGCACGCGCGCCTTTGCGGTCTCGCGGATCGATGCCGCGCCTCTCGCCTCTGCTTCCCTTACTACTTCGAATTGTCCACGATGACGGGGGAGGGGAGGAGGGGTGAATGGAATAGGATGCGCCTGAGAAAAGTTTACGAAGGAAAAAAGGATAGAGAGAGAAAGGGAGGGCGGAGGGGGAGAAACCAAGCGAGCGATCGTTTAATTACGGAACAAATTGTTCCCCTTTGTTTCCGTTTCTCTCAAACAGCGTTCACCGTTCGATTTTTTCCTCCCTTCCTTTCCTTCGACTCTTTCCCTTCACGATGCACGAAAATATAACTATATCGTTTCAAGCAAACGGTGGAAAGCCCGGAACAATGCTCTCTCAGGACCGGATTATTGCCGCGCGATTGGATTAATATATCTGATAACGGCTGTGTATTCGATCTGTCATACGATCCGTTTCTGCGTGCGCGGATTAAACGCGCTCCTGTTGGCTTCGATTTGTAAGACGAAATTACCGGGCTGTCCCAGCACGGGAAAAATAATATTTTTGTTCGCCGACCGGCCGGCCACGCACGGACCCGTAGCCGGGAGTCGTAAAATACATTTAGGGGGTAAGATACAAGAAACGCTGCACCGGAAGCGAATGTGTGGAGTTACCATAAAACGTCTGCATAAAACATAGGAACCTCGAATAAATTTATGCGGTGGTCGAAACGCGTTATATATATGTATATACGCACACGTTTCGTTTACCAACGTTTCGTCGCACTGTGCGTGTTCATATGTAGTTCAAACAGGCACGGTACATATTGCATAATGTTCGGCCTGTGACAGTTCGCTGGCATACTTTCTGGCACCACGCTCGATGGTTCCCTTTATTTCTCTCGTTCTTCCCTTCTCTCTCTCTCTCTCTCTCTCTTTCTTTCTTTCTCTGGTCAGCTTCTTCTTGTCGCAATATACACTTACGCTCAGCAAATCGATACAGTCCCTGGAATCCTTCCAGAATTTTCATTTCGCCGAGTGTGCGAGTCGCGTCGCGACGTTAGTTCGCCCCACGAATCGCTCTGATTGCCTCGAAGTTTGTTCTCGCAGCGGAGTAACGAATAACGATGCGACACTCGGATCGTGAGGAATCCTCGTCGGGATTAAAACGTCTCTCTCTCTCTCTCTCTCTCTCGATACAATAACTGATCCTGGATCTCTCTCCTTCTCTTTCTCTCCCTTTTTCTCTTTGCGAATTGCATGTTGTTCGTGCGACTTTATGATGGATGCGGACGTTTTAACATCCGACGAACTTCCGCTTCCGGGATGAACGCGTGGCTCTCGAGCCACCGCACGCGCTTTATCGAGCGCGTTTTTTCACTTTCTTAGAATGTTATTCAAATTTATTCCGCAATAAAAGTGTCGCGCGACTTTACATGTCCGACAACGCGCGGTACTTATCTACTTGGAATTCCTCCAACTCGAAACGTCTGAGTGCACATCTCGGCCCTTGAACCGCAAACGCCTCGCGCGAAAGGATTCAGTCGGAAGATCGAAATCCTGTCCGAGGCGTTCTTATTGTTTTCCAGCTCGCACGTCTTGCCTACTTTCGCCGAGATACAAAATTCGCGCGTAATTCGAGATTCAACTTGCTGGTTGGTTGCTCATGTATTTTTCATTGCGGTCGTGAAACAAAGAAAAAACTGCGACGTAAATATACAGGTGCTGAATGACAAAATAGCTTATTACCATAAGATAGAAATTTACTTATTGTTAACGAGAGATAAACCTATTTGATACATCAATGTGAGAAAGAGATTAAGAGAACGAGATCAGTAAGAAGAAAGGAAACAGACTGGAACGAACAAATACGCAAATTATCGGCGGAAAAAGACATAAAATAAAATATAATTGAAGTATATACATAAAAGTATGTACATAAAACACAAAGTATACGTAGAAAACATTGTAAATCATACTGTCATGGTATATGAAGTATAAGAAATACGGTACGTAGAAGTACAGTGTATGTAGAAATCAATGATCCTAATCATTAAGACGACATAGTGTTGGACAAGCATAAGTAAGAATAAAATTGAAGTTAAGTAAGAAATAGAATAATGACCGGGCATCGAGATGTCGGATTTCGCATTGTCGAATGTTGTAGTCGGCGAGAAAACACATTTATTCTCGGTAGTAGATTCATTCTCTCGAAAAGAAAAAAGAAACCTCCGCGAGCCGTAAACTACTCCGACTCTCGTCTGATTACTCATTGGGAGTTTCCACTGCGATGGAACGCAGAAATAGCCTCTCTCGTGATCCTCGGGAATGCAACCCCGTTGCATAAATAAGGACACGACGATGAACGTCCCGGGCAGATAGCGGTAAAGAACGACGTTCTTACGTAGTTTTCGCGCGCATCTCCCGTCTCCCGTACGAACCGAAGTTTCACGGCGGAGGACATGTGGGGGGGAAAAATCCCCGTGACTTCCCCGCGCGGAATGCAGGCGTCATGTTTTATTCATGGAGGCTGCTAAATGCCGCCCGGCGCCTGGTGTGTATGTATATTTATTACGATATCCGCCGCTCTTAAGACGCGATACTCGGCGATATCCAATGTGCGATGCTAATAGCAGCGAGCCACTTCGCACGAAATCCAGTCAGACCTCGGATATTCGATTGCAGCCGTCTTATACGTCTCCTTCTTATGACTCCTCGAGTCAGCTCCTCGTTTCCTCTTCGGTCTCTTTTTCGCGCGGAGTCGAGAAATCCAACGGAGTCCACGATGAAGCGTCGGTCATGCGTAAATATTTTCTAAAAAGAATTTCTGATATATTCTCAATATTACGAATTTAATACCTGTCGCAATTATTTTGTACACGTACAAGTAAATGTCTATATGAAGGAAGTATCATATTGTATATAGTCAATTATAGTTTTCTATAGTCAATTATATATTTCTACCTCTGATAAATACTTGCCAAGTAATATTGGAGTGGTCATTTCGCTTGGATCGAATAGATATTATTTTGAACGGTAGTACTATTTTTTCCTTCGGTCACACTAATTGATACAAAACGTGCCATTACGCGTGCGATAGTGCGATATTTCTCGCGAACTGATAGACGTGAGCATACAAATCGAGCGTGCGTCTCAATCTCTCCGCGGGCCGCGCTATTTGTCTCGCGCGCAACAACGAATCGCTATCCCATTACGTTCATTCACGCAGACCAATGAGCGTATTGCGGCGGAATATACACGCCGGGTGGAATAGCGGCTAAATCTTCCCAGTCATGTGCACGCAAAAGTGCGGGCCATGATTTACGGCACTTCATTCCTGATCGATACACAATAGTTCGGTTCTCCCTCCCTCCCTCTCTCTTTCCTCCCCTCCCTCTCTCTCCCGGATCCTGCGGTGGTCCGGAATAGCGCACTCTCGGTCTCTCTCTCTCTTTCTCTCTCTATCTCCCCAGCAGCAGCAGTAGCGATACATAAAGGCTCCGTATCCGTCAGCGTAGCACGGTAATGATTTCATCCGAGGCTCCGCGGAGCGCGGAGAAGCGCCCCTGGAAGACAGGAATTGATAGATTTCTCTCTTTTGTGAGCCCCCGGGAGCCATGCAAATATTGAACTGAAAGCACAAGGCTCCTTAAAGCGTTCCCTCCCTTTCGTCCCGCTATCGTCCCGAGACTCTTTCCGAGTTACGATCGTGGGTGAGGCAGGATGAAAAGCAAAGACAGACAGAGGGAGATGAAGGATGAATGGTGAAGGACCCGAAGGGGTCGTCGAAGTACGGTGCGCCTAAGTCGAGTAGGTTTCCGCTTTTCCTTTCGCGTCACCTTACCACCTTCGTTGTCTTGACCGATAAAGGCCTCACGTTCCAACTTCTGCGTTGTTTTCCACGTCGCCTCACTTTCTTCTTTCTCTCTCTCTCTCTCTCTCTCTCTCTCTCTTCCCTCACGTCCCTTTTCATTCGTTTTACTTCGATTCCTTTTGCTAGATCCTCCTTTTTCCCGATACACTTTCACCTTCCTTCCATCCTGCGGCCAGCTTTCTTTTCACGAGCTCCGTCGCGAAGCGAGAAAGTCTCACGGGGAGCGCAACTCGCCCCGAACGAGACTTTCCGACGAAATGAGAACCGAAAATGACAATCCGGAATTTTAAATTACACCGCACTCGGACCATTAGTTCGCCCGCAATCCGGTATTTCGTGCGAAGTAGTTGCCGACTCGTAAATGCACACCGTCGAAGAGTTTCGATTGCGTCTTTTCGACCTTACTTCCGGGGAGAGGCCGCCGCAATCTCGAATTCAGCGTTCTGTCTTATCCCTCGTCGGATGAACTTTTTGCGCCTCGTGTTCCGCGCGCTTTTTCGTTATGCCGCGCAAAAAAAAACCTAGGCGAGAAATTGATTTAAGCAGGACGGCAAAATTCCAAGCACACACACGCATCCACTCGTATGAGAGATATGCTTCCCCGTTTGTACGCCGTATAACATCGCGCATGCATGTATAGGATATCGTTATAATTGTTATTAAGTCACCCGTTCCTAATTTATATGTATTACAACACTAAAGTCATACATTATTATTGCATAACGCAATATTGTTATTTTTAATTATCAGTAATTCATTCAAACGCTCGAATGTTTGCACGAATGTTCCCGACTTCGCATGAGTTCCACTTCTCGAATATTTTCCTTCACTTCGCACCGCTCCTCCTCCCCTCTCGCGCGTACTGTCCCGATCCATATTATTCTATTAAAAAATCGAAGTGCGTCGAATAATATGACCAAGGCTGTATATTATTCCTCTTATCAGCGGCCTGCATATCGCATCTCTCTCTCTCTCTCTCTCTGCAACTCTACGCAAAGTGTGCATTCGATCCTTTTTATTTATGCAGTGCTCCGTGACCTGTGGCACTGGAGTGCGAACGAGGACGATCGAATGCAGAGACGGTGTTGGCGCTATCTCCGGGGATTGCGACCCTGCGGAACGTCCTCATGCCGAGCAGGAGTGCAAGACGAACGTCGCCTGTCCCACATGTAATTGCGTTACAAGTCCAAGTTAAACTCGCGTTGCCGCGAAGCGATTTAACACGCTATAAGCGCGTCGATCCGGACATACGTACTGGCGATATTCGCGCGCGCGCGCGAGTATAACTACTTGGGCGCAATCAGGGGAACGGAGCGAAAATTAACGAGATTCAAGCTCGGGAAATCGGTTTCCTCGTGCTCGGATATACGCGTCGTAATAACTCAGAGTATTTTTCGTCGCCGCGCGTTCTTTACGTTTACTAAGAGCGTTCGCGCGCGGACGCACACCGTCGCGCCGCATCTTGTTTGCCGAGCGATAGTAATGGCAAAGTTTCGCGATTTCCCGAACTGTTGGAGCCCGAACGATTTGACGCGCCTCATCGCGCGGAACAAACTCGCGAAAATAAAGAGCCGGGCGGTGAGCGAAAAATATCGTCCGACGCGGTTACCGTGCACGCTGTGGGAATATGCATCGGAAATGAGACGGCATACGAAATGTTATTTAGATGGAGACGGCATGACGCTGCCTTTGGTGCAACCGTATTCGCTGTCCCAAGTGTCGGAGAAGCTGACGGACCAGCCGGTGCCTTCCGAATCGACGTAAGTACCACTTACGTAAGCCCAGCCACATTGCGAGTGCAGCTCGTACATCTGTATTGCGGACCGTTGAATTTATCTGTTTTCCTTCCGTCTCTGAAAGTAGAGGACGCGTCCTGAAATCTTACATATGTAATTTTGGTAGATATTATTTCAAAAAATATCTTTATTCTTAATATACCACATCCCGTACTGAAAATTGTCTGGGATCTAATTGCACGGTAAAAAATTTTGTGCTAAAAATTGTCTATTGAAATTTCTCATTATTTTAATATGGAACATATGTTAAAATGTGCTAATTTAACGTTTCGACCTCAATCGGGGAATTAAGGGCGAATATCTAAGAATAACTTCGAATCCGTATGTGTGATCTATCATAAAAGGTTTCAAAATTATTACCGTATATTATTACCATATATACACCTCTTTTAGGTTTCTTCGATAAATTCTAAGTCAAGAGTTTCAACGATAAAATCACACGGGTTATGAATAACTTGGCTTATAGTGTTTAAAGCTTAAGAGGAGAAGAGCGCAAACCTATCTCGGTTAAACATAACATAAACAGGAGCGAGGCGAATCTTTTTTTTCCTACCGGCGAATCTTTGGAGGAACGCGGAAAAAGGCAAATAACTGTCTTGTTTGATCTAATTTAAAATCCAATTTCGGTAGTCTGCGAAGCGACTGCCAAACAATTAATTCATCAAGTTCCCGGTTCCCGGTTGAACTTTCCGTTTCTCTATAATCCTCACGGGATATGTAACATCGATTGCAATTCAAGAACAATGGCGGGAGCTTTGGAAGAGCCATTACCACCGTAGCGAAATTCCATAAGACGTTGGACATAGATTCTCAGTCAGCGTTTATAACTTTCTCTGTGTGTGAGGTATTATCTGAGAATTTCCTTCCGTCGTTTTAGCACGTGGCATTCTACTCGTCCGTTGTCGAAACGGATTTCGTCCATCATAAATCTATTTTCACTATCAGGATAAATGAGCGTAAAAATCTCGATTGTCCACGCACAATATGAATTGCACGATCGTGATAGTTTTAACTTCGTTTTATCTCGAAGAGATATTCATTTCGTTATTTATTACAAGAAGAATGCGCTATAAAGTGGATTTCGCGTAAAACTTTCGATGAACATAAGCGAGTAAAGATCAAATATAAAATAGAATATGATATAATATAAATAGAATATAATTAGTTGATTAATAAAACTTAAAAAAAATGAATGCACATATTTTTATATCTCACGATTGAAAAACATTTGGTACCACAATGTGGTATAATACATTATCGGAATAAAATGGAAATATTTTTTTTGTTATTTCTTCTTTTCTCGTTTTTTTTTTACTATTGGTAAAATATATAAAAAATTCGATTCGATTTGTGATTGACGAATTATTTATTGACGTGAAAATCTATCTACCGAATCAGCTAGAGTGATTTGGTTGAACTGTATGGAATATACAATAACAATAAATGGAAGGTGCATATTACATACAGAAACAACAAACGTCAAACGATATTCGTTTAATTTCATCGACGATTCAAAATATTCGGTGAAATAAATGAAGGCGTTGCACGTGATGCAAGAGAAATACGAGTTTTATTAATTAAATCTCAACGTTGTGTGTGATTTAATGATGATGTTGGAATAATTTTAATTATATTCGCGCGTATGTAAATGTTATTATCACTGCGTACCGCGTATCACAAAGTACTTAACGATAAAAGAATTAACGTGTATTCGAATATTTCGTTTAAAATCTAACTGAAACCAGATAGCTCTGTGAGAATTATGGCCGATGCGCGATATACGTTTGTGCCCTTTTATTCCGTTATTGCCGCGAATATACTCCTACTAAACATGATAACGAAATATGTGTACATATGTACACATATAGATATGTATGTATATATATATATATATATATATATATATATATATATATAAAAGAATACATATATTTATTTCTTTTTTTTTCGAAATGACATTTTTGTTACAAGACACACGTGCTTTCGTAAAAGTCCCCGCTGAATTCGGAGATTATCCTTTCTCGCCGGGAATTTTAGCTCCTTTTTTCTCTCATAATCTCGCATTTCACAACACATCATACACCTCCAAACTCTCTTTTTCTCTCTTTCTTTCTCTCTCTCTCTCTCTCTGTCTCTGTCTCTGTATTTTCCCTCTCGAGTGCACTGAAAATGGTCGACGAAATCTTGAGCGACCATCGCACTTTTCATCCCTCCGTGACCCAAAATCCAGTTACCGGGATTTCCGGCCGGATGCGTCCCGCCGCTTCATTATCTAACCAACACGAGATCCGCGAGATCAATCGCGACGACGACGACGACGACGATAATGACGACGACGACGACGTTACAGATTCATCGCCGAAAAGTGGTCGTCCTGCAGCGTCACCTGCGGCGAGGGCGTCAGGCATAGAGAGGTGCATTGCAAGATATTCCTCGAGTTCAGCAAAACTATCGCGATGCTACCGGACAAACAGTGTCCCGGCCCGAAGCCCGTCGAGACGGAGAAGTGCGTGATGCAGCCGTGCGGCGACCTGTTCGAAAACAGCCTGCCCTTCCGGGTCGAGACGGTAGACGACGGCGGATACCCCGAGTCGAGCTCGGGCTCGTCGTATAGATCATCGCTCGACGGAAACGGCTACGACAGCGACATCAAGGTCGCTCCGGGAAGCGACGTGCAGACGACGTACTCGTGGAAGGAAGCTGGATATACCCCCTGCAGCGCCACTTGCTTAGGAGGTAACGACGGCAGGCGCGACACCATTGTACCGCCAAGATTGTTTCTGATAATATCACCCAGAGAGGGATGAGAGTCCTCGGCGGGATAAGAGGTCGGGCATTACTACCATCCGGGTGGGTGGTCCGGCCTTCGAATCCCGCCCGTCACATCTGGATTTTAAATGATGGATAGTTTCCGCCGCGTGGAAACTCGCATTAAATACGCGGCTCGTCGCCCAATGCTAATGAACGCAAGGAGGAGGGGATCCCAGCCTGAGAAACGGCTCTCCCCGCGAGGCGTTTACGTAATCGTCGCGATAGAATCAATTTCTGCTGACGTAACGCAAAAAATCCCACGATGTCGGAGATGCCATGAGGAGCCAAGCACGGATGTTTTAGCGACATTAGATATTAATAATGTCAACTTATTGATATAATCATATACTGAGAGAAATTAATAATTATTTTCGGCCTCAACTATACCATTTTTATGGTTTTATTCAGAAAAATAATAGTAGCAACGTGCAAGGTTATTATTAATATTGGCACTGTAGCAACATTTATTAGAACAATCACTCTTTTCGTCACTAATTCTTTTACTATGATGATTATACTTACAAATACGAAATATTTTTCCTTCAGTGTAAGAGGATAAAATTGCCCATTGTGTATACAAAACGTACCGAATTATTTTTCGGACAAATGCGGCGGCAGCTTTCAATGTGTGAACTGACCCTTAGAATCCCAATAATATATTTGCACGAATACGCGTTATCAATTAAAATTGTCCGATAAATTTGTCCCTTTTATCCAATTGTTATATTAGCGAGCGATTTAATGACTTTACTTATTATGTTGCGAGAAATATTACTACTAGGAGGCAGTATTTTTCGCAACATAATAAATAGACACATTAAATTGCTCAGTAATTTAATTAGCAATTTAATGAATAAAAAGGTTATCGGGAAATGTTAATTGATAAAGCATATGCACGTACACTATTGAGATTCTAAGGCTCGTATTCGTAATCGTAGACATATTCGTCGTTTGCATCTTCGCGACAATTAAATTCACAAGATTCCGCGCACGTTATTATTGGAAACATTTGTCACGTTTGCTCTCGCGAAACGCGCACTACCGCGAGAGCACGACACGATCGGTCGGATAATCCTTTTCGCTTTGCTGTGCCGATTTTCTGCGTGATGTATAACAAAACGAGAGAGAGAGAGAGAGAGAGAGAGAGAGAGAGAGAGAGAGAGACGAGCGCGCGGAGAGTGTAGCACGCGCGCAAAGCCGGCATTGATCGTTCGTCGGATAGGATTAGAGAAACGAATTCACGTCGTCGACGTACTCCTCAATTAGCCTCGGCGAAATCGATGTTATCGTGCAATTAACAATGCTCACTTATAATCGCATTAAGATAAGTCCGTGTCGCCTGACGCATAGATACAAAGGAACGACGGAGGGCTACGCACACCACTCCGGACAGGATTATCTTTTGCCTATAATTCGAACCCGCGCACATGATTGATCGATAATCGGGTCCTTGTCTCTCTCTCTCTCTCTCTCTTTCTCTCTCTCTCTCTCTCTCTCTCTTTTTCTCTCTTTCTCTCTCTCTCTCTCTCTCCTTCTTTCTCTCATCTCCAGGTGTTCAGGATCTTATTATAAACTGCGTGCGCGACGACACCGGGAAAACCGCGATGCCTCTACTGTGCACCCCCGAGACGAAACCCGAAGCGAGGATACGAGTCTGCAACGACCATCCATGTCCTCCCAGGTGAGAGCGACGATGCAACCGGATATGGATTAGTTTAATGCCCAAATGTTGAGATGCCTCGCGTTTATGTAATGTTTGAGTTACCGTTAATCCGAAGTATGACACGTTAACCCTCCGGCTGTCATAATATCCTGATAACTTGGGCTACCGAACGCGAGGGCCCCTCATCGGCATTTGTAGGTTTCGAAAATTAATTAATGGCTTCCTCAGAGAGAAAAATGTATTCTCTGAATTTCCTAGAGCGATATCTCCGCTGGACAAACAGAGCAACAGTCGAGTAACTCGAATTGTAATGTCGTTTTATTTTTACGGAGTGAATTTTTTCACTCTACAACAGAGTGAATATTTTCACTCATTTTTCACGCAAAATCTCATTAATAACGCTTTAGGAACAATGCAATGAAAAAAAGTATTTCACGAGTTAAAGAATATAAATTAGAAGAATTCACTCTTTATGGTGTAAAACATTCGCTCCATCGAATAAAACATTCACTCTTGTGAAAAGCGAACTGTCACTTCATTCCGAGTAGCGGTATTTCCACTATCGCTTAGAATGAATTCTCGCTCGTTTCACTCCAAGAAATTTAGATAGCACGGTCCTACGGATGTTCTTCCTCGCGTGAGTGCGTTCGATGAAATTGCGACGGGGACAGACGATCGGGAATGAATTTATTCATTTGTCGCCTTTCGTGCATGCGATGAGATGCAGTAATACCGATAAAATCCATTCATCCGAGTTTTTCTCTCGCTCCATGCCGCGCTACGTATTTCGACGTTGACGTTCGTGACGCGCCATTTGCGAATCGCGCCCTCAAACGCTGCTTACTACTCTTGTACTCGATACATCATTAACGGTTCCCCGGCGGAGCGGAAATGCAATTACGTCGTCATCGCCGCGCTCTCGAACGCGGCAGCGCGTGTCCGCGCGACGACCTCGCTTGACGAATGCGTCATCGTTTGCGCCCGCAGGTGGAACTATAGCGAATTCACCACTTGCATGAGCCCTTGCGGTATCGGTATACAGACGCGTGACGTCAGTTGTATTCACGAGGTGACACGCGGCAGCGGCAGCGGCAGCGCCAAGACAGTGCTCGTCCCACATTACATGTGTCCGCAACCACCGCCCGCCGACAGACGATACTGCAACGTCTGGGATTGCCCTGTCAAATGGAGCACCGGGGAATGGGGAAAGGTTTGTACTGCGCGCCCGAGATTATTTATCAAACCCGGGGAGAGAGGAACCTTAAGGCTCCGGAGCAGTCAGCCAAGAACTTCGCGTTGATAGTAGCGACACAGTTCAGAATGACGAAAAAGATGAACTGGTAGAGTGCATGCAGCAAACGTCAGTCACCAGTCACCAACGCTTCAAAGCGTTTCTCCTTCTTCATCTATTTTTCGGGTCCGAATAAAAGAAGAAAAAGAAGGAGAAACGTTGCTTCGAAGCATTTATAGCGTTTACCGGGCCGTACTTACATGTGCTTGAAGAGCGACATGTTGACGACGAAACTTTGCGTTGCCTGCCATTTCGTTATTATTTGTTTAATTGTGCAGGTCTGACCTGTGACATATTTGTTAAACCCGTAAAAATGAACGAGAGCCGAGATTAGCTTGGAATCTCACACGTAGGAGCATATTTTCCATTCTTTTCAATAGCTGTGAAACCGTTTTCTCCGTGCTGTATGAATGGGGCCTTATTTCACGTACTTTTCACGGTTGAACTCCCCCCTCCGTGTTGCCGAATTAATTATACACGAAACTCGGATGTGAGGCCGTTACTTTTTACCATCCCTCTTGCCGTTATATTCCGCCCGATTGTTAAATCGTTTCGCGGAAATGTTCGAAATCACACCCTACCGTATGACTGATCGTGTTTATTTAACGACGAACACCCCTGTTAATAATTGATGTCGCGTTGTAAGACGCAAGCGCAAGATCGACGAGAATTTCCGGAGCTCTTAATCGAACCGTTTCAGTGCTCCAAGTCGTGCGGTGGTGGTGTGAAGAAACGAAAGGTGGTCTGCGAACAGATAATGGCGCAGGGTCGCAAGCAGAGTCGCGAGGAGCGCGAGTGTCCGGCGCAAAAGCCAGCCAGCGAGAAACCCTGCAACACCCGGGCGTGTCGTGAGTCGGATTCGAGCGTGCCGCCGATAATCACCAGCTCGAACACGACGTACAATCAAACGGACATCAACGCGAAGGTGGACCTGAGGATCGGCGGGGTCGCCAAGGTCTTTCAAGGCACCGGCTCCGTGAAGATTCGCTGCCCCGTCAGGAAATTCGACAAGTAAGCGCGAGCGCGCAACCGTGCGATTAGGTTGAAAGTGATGTCCGCTCTGGAAAGGACGATGGGTGAAATTTTAGGCTGACTTTCCGGCCTGAATAGTTTAACGTAAGTTACACGTGTAAGTTATACATGTGCTCTTATATTCTTCGAGCCGGCGAATTTTCACTACTTTTCCATGGATTTAGACGGATAAAAGTATTATCCATCATGTTCAATGACTTAAAAAAAACTGGTAAGATTACATATATAATTTATACTTTTTCAGCAAAAATCGGTCACTTTAACCTATCGTCCTTTTCCAGAGTGAAGTCTCCACTCAAAACGAGCGGAAGTTCACTCGAAGCGACGATGAAAAACTCTCGGAATCACAGAATGAATATTTTTTTTCAAATTGAGAGCGGATTCACACACATACACGCACTTATAATTCATACAAATGAATGATTCAATCGATCCGAATATATTCCTATGACGGTGGAATATATTCAGGTTCACTCGTTCGATTCCGAATAAAGGGATCGTCCGGCTATTCAAAGTGGAAAATTCGCTCAGTACAGATGAAAGGTCACTCGAATTCGAATTCGATTCGGCCATCGGTCCGCATTTTGAGTGGAATTTCGCTTTCGGGGAAATTTAGACGGCGTCACGTAACCGTAATTGAGACAGCGTCGCGATGTTAACGTAACGACGTTGTCAGAACGCAGATTCTGTGGTCGAAGGACAACAAGGAGATACGAAAGTCGAGGAAGTACAAGATCAGCAGGAAGGGCGCGCTGAAAATAATGGAAATAGCGTCCTCGGACGCCGGTCTCTATGCGTGTATCGGTAAGCGATCCGTTCCGCCCGGCGGGCTCTATGCTCGCGCACACAGATTCCAATGCTGCTGCAATGAAAAATGCGACGGTAATTTTTTAGCGGGGAACTCGCGCGCGGAGACGCAATTGATAGTGAAATTTCGCTCCAAAGAGCAGATAAGTAGCGAGGAATATTTACGGCTCGGCAATTCCGTTCACCTACAACGAAACGCGAATCTCGATTCCGCGCCGGCGAACTCGGGCGAGAGCCTCTACACCGATCGCGCAGGTAAGCGAAGTGCGAGTCTTTATTAAAAACAAAATGTTCACATAGAGGAGAAGGTAATATTACAGCCCTTGTAGGTATATCTACGCTATTAGGTCGAGAATTCGAACTAAAATAGATTAGAAACTAGAATAGTTCGGGCAATACTGGCGAATATAATCGTTAAGTTTTTAATGAAAAATTCTGATTATTAACAAAATTATTGTATAAAACGTAATGGGAGGGCTATATCGCCTTCTCCTCTACAATTTAGGGGTTTTACGTATGCATAAACAACAGCAACCGGACGGCACATTGTCGCCGATGTTTGGAAATTCAGAACTTCGACGATCTCCAAGACCTCCATTAAATTTTCCAAGACCTCTCGTATCGATTACTAACACAACTGTATGTTCTGAGGAGTGATCGATAGGGTAGAGTTTCGGTCTCGCAACTTCGATTTCGTGCGTTACAGCAGCCTACGGCAACCGCTTCGACAGCGAGGACATCAGTCACGAGCGGGCGTTTCCCAGCAAACCGACGCGGAAACCGCATCAGAAGAAGCAGAAGACCAGCCCGGCGCCGTTGGACGCCACGATGATGCACAAAGAGCAGACCGTCACCTCTCTCAACCAGGTACACCACACGAACGAATCCGATCCCGTCGGAGGATCGTACGCTTACGATAATCCAAATAATCCGGCGTGTTACCTCTGACATCTTCGCTTAACGAAATTACGCATACGCATGAATTTTGTCGAAATTAACATACGTTCTATCTTTCTCTTTCTCTTCCCGGGAAAAAATGATCATGTATGATTACATATAATTATATAAAATCATATATGAATTTTGCCCATATATGTGGTTACATACATGATCATATATGTATTTATACGAAAAAAAGATATATTATTTAATGAAATTTCGATATCATGTGCTGTCAGAAACACAAGTAGCCAGAAGCACTTCGATCGCATTTGCATATAGATATACAAATTAATTCGGTGCTTTTTTTTTCATGAAATTTAAAGTTTATTTACAAAAAGTCAAGTACAAGTTTAACGTTCGAGATAATTTCCATTATTTTCTGAGATTCTTTACTCCGTAAGAAAATTGAAATCTGAACCAGAGTTACAAGGACATTAAATGCAAGGGTGCCGAGTTAATTTGTACACCTAATAATTTGTACAACAACAGTATTTTTCGGACTTCCGTTGCCGGCATACAGGATTACATATAGTCATATACGGGTAAATTTCATATGTGATCTTTTCTTTCCCGGGTTTCTCTTTCCCTTTTTGCCCCTTCTCTCCGGTGACGGCTCTCTGTGTATTCTCTATACCCTGCACTCGTGGACTAACTTTTCTTCGGCGTTGGCTATTCGATCTGCTTGATCAATCAGCCGGGGCATCACGAATCCGTGGAGTCGGCCGCTCCATCGAGCGCCTCCGCTCTGGTGCCGCACTTGAGCTACTTGATATCGAGCTTGAAGGTAAGATGTTAACGCCCGACTGAACTTAACGAACTTGCTGCGTGCGGGTGCGCTCGCTCTCTCGCTAGCTCGCCTGCCCTCGAGCGGTGTATGTTAACGCTCCTGTAAACTTCCGATCAGCGAGCGTTCAGCACTCCGTACGGCACGTTGCACGTTGTTCCACTCCGAAATCTCCACTAGTTCATTGTTAACGCGCTTTTTGACAGGCCTACTGGCCGTTCCGTAGCGAAGTAAGCACGAGCGACAACCGCAAGGCGGCCATTTCCGCGAGGGACGGCGGAAGCAAAGCGGCGTCCACCAAGTACAGATTGTCGAACGGGAAGGGGGGCGATCTGACGTACCAGAGCCTTGAAGACAGTTTCGACAGTTTGTATCGCAACACGATTATTCCTGACAAGACTTTCGGCCCGGACGAGGAGCGGATTTTCATCGACGTCGATCCCTACGACCTGGACCTGGAGTCTGTGTTCGGGTTGCAGCATCAGGGCGACAACGTCGTGTCGACGGCGCCCGTCGCGGCTAACAAGCTTACCGCCAAGCAACCTAATATCGATTATATCGAGGAGTCGCTGAAAAATGTGAAAAGGTATTGGCAAGAGTCGAAAGAACGGTCGAAAGACGAGTCGGGGGACGGGTCGAAAGGTCAGTGGAGTACCACGCCCAAGGATCACGTACGGAGCGGAGCCGTTGGCACGTCTCCGGGAGACGCCGGGATGGACGTGTACTATGTCGAGGACTCGTCGAGCACGAAGAAGAAGGAATCGCCCGAAGAGAGGCGCAGTTTTGCCGACGACGGCGATAAGTTCATCAATCACGGTGCCGCCTATGGTAACGCGAGGAGAGCCGGCGGAGATCCATCGACCACGCCGGCGGCGGCGGCGAGAAACCCGGAGGAGCAGCACCGGCCGAGGACAGCGCCGGAATCGGCGCGTCGTCGCGATCGCGCGAACGGGACAATTGATTACAGCGACGCGTTGTTCGACGACGAGTCGGATGAGCGGGAGATCGTGCGGCATACGGGAAATCGCACGACCGATTATACAATCGTGCGATTCCCGGCCACCAGGAACCTCGACGGAGGCGGAGGAGCGGGCAAGGACTCGACGTTGATGGATGATCGAGGCTCGACCGTTGTCGAGGAGGTGCCTGACGAAGACGCGAGAAACTTATCTCGCGATCGGGAGGATCATGCCGGCTCCATGGAGAAGGCCTCCTCGCTTAATCTAAAGGAAATCTCCAAAGAGGGGGAACAATCGACCGACGAAGATAAGGCCGTTTTGACCTCCACTCCGGTGGCGGAGGACAACACGACCAAGGACCCCGCCGTGGAATCCCTCGCTGTGTTAGGTAAGATTCAATGTCTTCAAAATCATTTTTCTTAGAGCTTACTTTTTACTTTGACATAATTTGTATGGCAGCTTTAAAAGAGTTTATAAAAATGAGACATGTGGCTTAATTTTCCGTTGGAAGATGGACTATTTCTATGCTTATACTGTGTTTTATTTCGAGCTAAAAGAAGCCTGATAATGTAATATTTGTAAGAAATTTTAGTTTCTCCGACAGTATGAAACGTAAAAATAAGAAACTATAATGAAAACATATTCCGTTGTTTTATGATACGATCATTTACACACTATGTTTCTCTCTCTCTCTCTCTCTCTCTCTCTCTGTTTCTTTCTTGGTGGTTTGAATAGTTCAGTAATTAAACGAAAGACTTGTAACTCAGCTGTGGACAACACGGAAAGTCTGGTATTCGAGTGGGTCACAACCGACTGGTCGAAGTGTTCTCAAACTTGCGGAGGAAGTGGGTTCCAGGTAAGATCGTTTTTTTTACACCTCAAACCGTTATCGATCATTAAAAATTTTACGGATTCGTGCCGTTCTGGGAAGTTCACGTTTACGAGAAAAAATGTTTTACAAGAAGGTTATTTTGTTGGGTTAGATCGTTGTTGCGCGGAATTGTCTGAAAAACGCTTGAAACTGTGAGCTGGATGTTCGAAAAACGGATAAACGATGAAACGTAAAAATAAGAAATTATAATAAAAATATGTCCCGCTGTTTTATTTTCATACTATATATTTTAATTTACAAAGATTAAGTTATAATTTATATTTCTTGAACGATATCAAGATACGAAGAACGATATCATCGTGTATCAACGGTAACTATCCTGGCTTTAACAAGAATGATCTAAAATTAGTATCAATACATTTTTTTATTCATTAAAGTTACAGTTATAAGTTCACGGAACGATATTTATTGTTTTGGAAAGAAAACAATATTTCGCAAAATAGGAGTTATAACAAATCAGAAAATTTAATCTTTTTATTGAAAAGTTCGATCTTGTAAAAAAAATTATTAAACAATGGATTTTGCAATCTTCGGAAAGTCTCTACGAACCAATAATTACTAACCTTAATGAGTAAAAAAATTTAGTGATACCAATATCAATTCACTCCTGTTAAGGCCAGGACACGTTCGAAATGAATTCCGATTGGAATTGTTCAATTATTACCTATAAAATACAAGAAAAATGTTGAGATTAATTGAGTGAATCCGACCGGAATTCATTCCGATTCATGGTCACAGTTGATACATGATTCTTTTGCAGAACAGAATTAAAATGGGCACATTGATATTAACATTCATCATAAAATCTCTTTTTTTTATACCAAGATATTATTAAAAAATATACACTTAACAGTCATACATAACAGAAATTCATACTTCTATTAATTTACAATTTTTTACAACACCCAAAATTGTCGGTATTAATATTATTCGTGGAAGGAAAAAGACACTAAAAGGCGGCCATTATATAGTGATTGATTAGGCGAGCCGGAATTTTACGTATTGCGAGGTGATCTCTTTACGCAGATGCGAGGCGCGCAGTGCACAGTTCGCACGGCGATGTTGAACGGCAACTCCACGCGCGTCTCGCCGAGGACGGTGATCGGCGCGACGTTGTGCGAGGACGCCGGTCATCCGGTGCCGCAGAAAGTGCGACCCTGCGGAATGGGCAGGTGTCCCCAGTGGCACACCACCGAGTGGACTCCGTGCGAGACGTCGAGGTGTTTCAATTGGAAGACGGCGATGCAGAAGCGGGACATCAGCTGTCGGCTGGCATCGGAGGATGATCGGGAGAACGTCACGTTGCTGGATCCGAACAAGTGCGACGAGGCTACGAGGCCGCTGCAGAGACAGGAGTGCTACAACGACGCCTGCAAGGGCGTCTGGCGGGTCGGCGAGTGGTCGGAAGTAAGCGATCGATGTTAATTGCTACCCTGAGGAAAAAAATTGCTACGTTCAAGTAAATATTTACTAAGGCGTATCGTAGTAATTTTTTTACTTGATTCAAATAAAATTAATTACTGCAATACTTCTTAGTAAATATTTACTTGAAAATAGCAATTTTTTTCAGTGTACGAAAGGAAAGAGGTCTCTTAGATTTATATGTACATATTAGCATATGTGTTTGTTTGACTAAAGTTCGTTTCGTACAAAGAACATAATTTAATTGCGATGATCCCTAATGTTTTAACGATGCTCTTCGACTGCAGTGCACCGCGTCTTGCGAGGAGGACGGCATCAAATACAGAATCTTACAGTGCGTCTGGTTTGGCACGAAGAAGCCGGCGGGAAATGCCTGCAGAGACATACCACGACCGCCTGTGATGAAAACCTGCAGAGGTTCGCCTTGTCCTCAATCGCCGGGTAGGTTTCTTCAAGGGATATTTAATATTGATTGATATATTAATATTTTACATACACTTCAATATTCACACACCTCTAATCAGGATTGGGTAATAACTAGTCATTCAGTTAAAATTTAAGTTAAAAAGTTAATGACTTTTAATTTAACTTAGTTAATTTTAAGTGAATTATCTCTTAATTCAAGCTAGTTAAATTAAAATGTATTAACTTTTTTTTATATAAGTTAAAACAATTCATCAATATAACATTATCGCAAGTAGCTTATAATATAAAATAAGAAAAATAAGAAAACCATGCCAGCATACTTTTTTATCTCTTTGAATGTTAGTGTTCTTCTCTTATATGAAATCCTAAGCATAAAACAGTTGGTACTTTCTTATGATAGACTACTTTTTTTTATTTAATACATAAACATTAATTGAATCTACAATTAAAAAGTTCATTCTACAAAATTGCATATATATATATATATATATATATGATTTTTGCATAATTAATTGTTAACTTTAATAAGTTAATTTATTATTAGCTTAATTTTTAATTAAGTTAATTCGGATTTAGATAACTTTTAACGTAACTTAGTTAAAAATAAAAACTTAACTTACCCAGCCCTGCCTCTAATTCACTATGGGGCCATAGTTTCCACAACGAATTAGAGGGTTTACACACGATTGTATAACTATTGGTGTTTATCTAATCACGTCATGTCGTCGTTGATATTAATCTCGCGTTAATTCGCATATAACGCAAAGTGCAATATTCCGATTAACAAGTGTTCCGTATGCGCAACATTTGCAGAGGACTGCAAGGATCACTCGCAGCTGTGCGGCAGAGTGAAAATAATGAACATGTGCAGGGTGCCGCTGTACAAGAAACAGTGCTGCGCATCGTGTCGCTAAGTCCGAGAGAATTGATTGCGAGTGACGTGTGCGAGGATTAAACAAAATGAACGATGATGATAACGACGACGACGACGATGACGACGACGATAATAACGATAATGATGACGACGAGGAGTGCGCGTGGGACACAAGGAGTGTAAATTGCGATTAGTCGGGGAATTACTTAATGACATATGTAAAACGCACTCGGGATGCCTGTTGTTAGTTAAATTATAACACGCGAAAGAAGCGTACCACTGTGAAATCATGTTGCACAGTATTACGATGTCCAATTTATAGATAAAGGATATTCTGAGGGAGGGAAAAAGAGAAAGAGAGAGAGTCTAACGACCAAAACTACTTCGCCGTAATAGTTTTCTCGTCTTATCGTTGCAAGAAATCACTCCATCCTTGCTGCGGACGTTCCTCTTGCAAAAGTAAAAAAAAAAAAGAGAGAAAGAGAAAAAACAAAACAAACCCGTCAACCTCGACAGTTTCCTAATTAAACCATAATTTTCTAACGTATGTCACACGTAGTTTGGCGCGATTCCTAATTGCGCACGCTCATTGCCCCTAGTTACAAAAAAAAAAAGAAATAAGTAACGATAAAGAGGAAAATGGAAATTTGGCGTTCGTCCAAGAAAGTTAACGAAAGCGTTATATTGTTATAGTCTGATGAAAGAAGGAGAAATAAGAGAGAGAGAGAGAGAGAGAAAGAAGGAAAGAGAGCGATAAAAATTTACTACGTCCTGGGCGGAAAAAAGACGTTATCGCGACGTACCGTTGAAAACGACACGTTATTAAATGTTGTCAATGTTGGTGCTTTAAGTCGCACGGAAAAAATGGCTTTAAGCAGAACGATATTCAAATTTTAACAAACGAAAAGAAATCGAAGAAAAGAGAAAAGAAAAAAAGAGAGAAAGAGAGACCGGGTTCGGAAAGTTTCGAGGCGTAGTTGATTTGTGTCGCGCGTAAAGCATGTTAGAGAATCGATTTCTTGTCCGGCACTTATTTTTTTACGCTTCCTTCTCGCGACAAGTGCACAATCGATCAATTACGATTATATTGGTTTCCGAAAGAGCGGAGGGGGAAGTTATCCCTCGAGGCTGAAATGCGCCGCTTTATCTCCTCGTGTGTACCAGATTCTTCTTGGGCATTAACATAAAGCAGAGTTTCGTCGCGTTTCCAAAGAATTTCCTTACATTCCGCTATAATCCAGTAGAGATATACTTTATGTCCGCGAACGGGCTTTTTTTCTTTTTTTCCTCGTATTTATTGACGCGTTTATCCCTCTTCTTTAGTTTTGTCTTTATGGATATAAATTATATTGTACGAACGGAAAAGAAAAAAATATATATATAAATATTATATATATATATATATATATATATATATATAATATTTATATATATATTTTNTATATATATATATATATATATATATAACGTTACTTATATAAGAATATAAGTTATGAATGAATCATTATGCGCCTATAAGCGTCCCGTCGGGCGGTCTTACGCCAATAGATCCTAAGCAATAAAAATACATAAGTATTGTAATATAATATTTTGTTAATAATCTCTCTGGCGAAAATTCGTGAACATGACCGTTTCGTTGTTGGTTGAAGGGCCCCGACATTACTTACGTGCCTCTGTGATCACTTCACCTCTCTACCTATCATCAGACACTCAACTCCTCAACAGAATTACGAATATTCATTTATCGCACATTCGTGTAAAACTCATCGGTGGAACTTGTTACTCGATGTTTTTGAAATAGGAACGATCCCTCGTGCAGGTGACGACGACTGTATGTAAGATCTTACGAGAATTCGGGCCTCTTTACACTATTATTTCTAATAAAGGGTTGATTAATTACATCATAGGCGCCGCCGAAATCTGTTCGTAGGAAGCACGCACCGGCAAATCTATTTTAAGAAATTGAAATCCACCATGAAGTGTGTTCTCAAATTATTGCAGAAATCCGATTAACCCATTTCGTTCCACCGTTCCTATATAGGAACAGCGAGTTTACTTATCTTCAGAAATTTGTTTATCTGTGATAAAGGTAAATTCCCACTTAGACCTTGTCACTGAAATATAGTTTGGACTTATGCCTTTCAGAAAAGAAATTTATCTGGTGAAAATGGCCACCACCTATCACCTCCTCGACGATAGTTGGAAGATGGAAAAACTTTGAAAAATACACGCTTTTTACTCCACTGCCTTACCTTTCTAATTAATCAATGGAAAATAGTAAAGAAATAAAAAATTGAAGAAATAGTGATGTGGTATTACTGCCAAAAATTCAAATTGTCAATAATGATGATTTCCGTTGATGACATGCCATTATGATTCATCAGGTGAACAAGGTAAAGGATGTCCTGACTATTTTCCGGAGAAAACGGCTAGTCGGAAAATTCTGATTTTAGATTTTTTGAGTTCCCTGGGTCCCAATTATCCTAAAGCGGTACTTGGATCTCGTGGATCTCTCAATATTTTTGCAAGTCGACCCGAAATGGATTAATACAGTAGTCGATGTATAAGCTCGACATTCGATATTAACAGCGATTTCACAAACTCCATTTCACGTGAAGTGAAATCGATTGACAACACGAGTGCGTTTTTCTTACGAGAACTTTTCCGGTCCATCGTTAAAATACGAAAAGTTACACGAGTGTACCCCCGTTCCTCCCCTTCCTCCTCGCGGCGCCTATGAGTACTTATATGTCTGTACGATGGTATGATTTTGACGAGATTGTGAACAGATTTTCGCTATCAACGAATTTGCCTCGACACAGCTAAGCGGTTTGCCAAAAAAAAAAAAGAAAAAAAGAGAAACGAGCTGACGTATATAAATGAGATAAAAATATATAATTTATAGGATACTATTAAAGTCAAAAGGGGGAAAAAAGAGGTAAAGGATAAAGGTATATTACAAGCTACGTAAATACAAATTACCGAGATGCACGCGTATAAATACGACTTTATATGTTGATATGATGGAACTGAAATGTACGGAGAATGCGGGAGAATTGTTATTCGGATTTTGTATGTATTCGGACGCGTCGGAAGTCGTAAAAATACTCTCCTTCAGCCAGGCGTATTGCCTCGATCGGGAGAAATTATACAAGCGACTTTCGGTGCATCCATACGTATGATCACGCGGCCAGTAGACTGCGAAGAAGAGTACGTAACTGCCATATACAAAGTGTCACGTGGTGATCACAAGGTGTTGCATTAACATATATAGGTCAATACAGTAGGTTACCTATTCGCTTCGCTGATCCGCCCGAAGCGCTCGCTCAAAGACGGACTCGACGCGGACTTGGCGGTGTGCGTGCTTGCGAAACGATTTCCACGCATTTTTTCACATTTTCTATCGGCAAAAATGCGCGCAAGTCGTTTGCGCAAACGAGCATACCGTACTCGCGCGCTTACCACACAGAGAAAGAATTAGTATCAATTCAAGACCCGTGTTCTCGTGTATAAACTAAGAAATCAAACAAAGAATTGTATCATTTTAAAGATACCGTTCTTCCTATATCCGACACTTTCTCCTCTCAATTCAAATAAAAATTATTCTTGGATAATAAGAATATATTTTTAATGGAGCTATATATATAGAATTTTTTCACGTAAGCAAGACTTATCTTGACGTAAGATTGCGTATTCTTGCTTACATACAAATCTTGATAACATAATTGATATTAGATTTTTTCCGTGCAGCAAAGCGAGTAGGTAATTCGCTATACTTACCTGCGTGTTGATACAACACTCTCCACATTGTTATGTTTTTTTTTCCTCTTTCTTTCCCAACAGACACTTTGTTTATCGATACTTACTTTACGATAATACGACTCCGAACGTATTAGCAAATCGACTTACGGTATATCGACTCGAGGGATAAGTTATTTTCCAAGTTAATCAGCATAACGATGATTCTTAAAGGGGAAGATGAGTTCCGTGAACACACACGTACACACATTACATTTTTGTATATATTACGATGTAGGTATGTAAAATGGCTCCACACACATACACACATACATACACACATACACACACCTAGTACCGTACTATAAGCATTATTGTTCATTATATCTATGTAAATATGTAACTGCCTAAAATGCGAATAAAACAAGAGGATATATCACTGCACAATACCGCTACAGTCATTCTCGTTCAGGTTTATTTGAAGGGGGATTAGAATTCTGAGGCCGCTTCTTAAGTACGTATCGCATGCTGCAATCCTCTCCTGTAATCCCTTTATATTCCTTCATTTTCTTCCGCTCCGCTTCAGTTCGCCCGAGCGCGGAACACGTTAAAAATAACGATTGCGAGAATAATAATATCTTTTCCGAAATCTCGACTGTATTTCCAAATACCTTACATTACAATTACAAATCGTTATACGCGTACGATCGAATACACATCATAGAATTATTGCCTCCATAATTGACCATCGTTAGTTTAGCGCAGTTTCAGGGTGTCCAGACGAATAAGCGCGCATCCATAAGCGCAAATTCAGGCAACGTCGTGGCGTAAAATTGCCGTTACAATAGAAGTAAATGCTGTCTAAGAGGCAATTTAACAATTACGACACACCACGATGGGAAGGTCTATTAGCTTGCGTGACAACCTGCGTGATGGCAAGGAGAAAGAGAGAGGGGGGAAGTAAAAGCTGTAAAACGTCACATTAGATGTTAGAATTTGTAAATATGGATGCGCGTGGTTATCTACTATAAAATATTCAACTCTCTATATATATATATATAATTTTTGTTTTTCTATATTATTATTATTTTATATTTTATAGTATTCTAAGAACGTTCTTATAATATTAAAAAATATTACACAACATTCTTAAAATATTATAAGAATATTATTTCAATATTTAATAATATTCATATGATACTCTAGGAATATTACGCGCTTGTAGGGCGTTATATATCGAATGCGACGGTATGTCACGGATTGTTCCGCGTTCGATTCGATCGTCCGACCTAGTAATCTGACGATCAACACTTCATCCTTCCATCCGTACCATAAAAACGGCGGTGTCCGTAAATAAGCTCGAATGATTATTAATTAGCCTGACGTTTCCAGAGACGCAGCGTGCGCGCCAGGCATCCCCTCGACAGATAACTCGGTTTTCGTCGTAATTAACCGGCGAATTAATCGACCGATCGCTCGCTGAGGCCGCTTTAGGGACTGTCCAAGCCCCAGGCTTGCGTCACGTCGCTCGGGCGCATCGGCCAGAGCCTCTTTAGCAAGGTCCAGCCGATCTTCTGCGTGGACAGCAGATACTGATTCTGCGGGTCGTGAAGGTGCGAGTACGCGCCCATCACCAGGCTCTGGCACATCCTGGCGCACACGCTGACCTTGAGCACCCTCTTCTCCGCTTCGCTGAGCTTCTTCACACGCTCGTAGCCCTCCACCACGTACTTGCCCATACCGACGTCGGCCGCTTGCAGGATCATGTAGCAGAGAACGATGGCGAGCTCGAAGACGCGGCAGGTCCTCTGCGAGTCCCCGAAGTCGATCACCGCTGCGACGTCTTCGCCGTCCGGACTGACGATGATGTTGTGCTCGTTCAGATCGCCGTGTATGACCCCTTGCTCCAGCTGTCCGGTCACCGGCAACACCTCCTTCTCGAAACAGACGATCACGTCGTGCACCAGCTGCCTGTCCAACGGGCTCTTGAGCGCGTACGTGAACTGCCGCAGCCTCGGCACCGAGGTGAGCATCCACAGGGTACGGTGCTCGTAGTAGGCCGGATGATCGAAGCCCGCTAGGATCTCGTCGATCCTGGCGGCGTGGACGCCGATTTTCCGCAGCAGCTCGCCGCTCATCCTCGCGCGATGAAGAAGCTCGCCGGGCCGGTAGACCAGCAGCCGCACCGCGTACCTCTCCATGCTGTTGTCGCTCTTCAGGCTCTCCAGGGAGAAGTAAGCGCCGTTCAGGTTCCTCACCGGCACGGGGCAACGGACGCCCCGCTGATCGAGATAGATCATCAGCTCGTTCTGCGCCTCGAGGACGCCGCTCTTCAGCGAGTCCAGCGAATTGATCACCTTGAGGACGTAGCCGGCCGTCTCCGGCCTAGCCACGTGCGGGTTCGCGTGCGCCTCCTCGCACAGCACGTGGTAGTTGCGGTCGTCGTACGCGTCGAGCTCGCGCACGCTCGTCGCCCTCATGCCGTACAGCCGCTCCAGCAGGCCCGCCGCGATCTCCCCCGTCACCGGCGGCCGTATGCGTTGGCCCGGTATCAGCAGCGTGTCGTTGTACTCCATGCTCCGGCGACGCTGAGCGCTACGCACAAAAATAGCCGCCGAGTTATTAAGGGGGAGGGGGGGGGG